CGGCCAATCGAACCAAAATGCCGCCACTTTTCCTCCTCCCGAACACCTTTAAGCATCCGAAAATGCTTGCTCCAGTGACTTCCCCACATCTTTCAGTCCGTTGCTCTGAACTCGATCATCATCATCATCTTCTTCTTCTTCACGCGTGTTACCGTTTGTGTTATTTACACTCCTCGATATCCTAACGACTCGTTTTCTTATAATAGACGGCACATTATCATAATTCCTGGCTGCACTCCTCAAAATAGACTCAGGGCAGCTATTTATATCAGGCGAAACTTCCATCTCATTATTCGGCTGGCGAATGCAAAACTCGCTACTCATAAATTTACCACCGGTCGACTTTAAAAAATGCATGTCATCCTTCCAAATCGGCTCGTAACACAACCCAGTGTAGTAATTCCAATCTGAGGAATTTTGATGCCGTTTGAGATTTTCGTACGTGTCACTATGTCTTCTTGGCTTAATCGAGCAAGAGCTAGAGAAATCGGGATAATCGAGAGGCGATTTATCGATATTTTTACCGCAGCTTGGTTTGATTGAAGAGGAATGATTTGAGAAAGTAGACGAGCTTCCGGGGCATGCGAGGCTCAAATCGAGGCAAACCGAGTCTTCATTTTTCTCATCGTTTGTTTTTTCTTCATACGAACTATTTGGGGGGCTTGTTCTAGTTTGCTCAATCTCCACAAGTTTATCTTCGCATTTTTCATTTTCGTGCGGTGGATGGTAATTTACCGACGAGTTAATGAGTTTCCTTTTCAGAGAGCAATTCCACTGGTTTTTTACTGAGTTCTCAGTTCTACAAAGAAAAAAAAAACCACAAATATGTTGAACTTTTCTGAAATCTAAACACAATATCATCGATCGATAAAAAAAGTTAAATACAATGGTCGAAATTGACGAATGAAATTTATTCACCTTCCAGGTAAAATCTTGGCGATTTCGGACCATTTGTTTCCGTATATACTGTGAGCACTGATGAGAATTTTTTCCTCTTCTTTTGTCCAGGCAGCCTTATTTATCTCCGGATTCAAATGATTGTGCCATCTGAAAAATAAAATAAACCGATTGCCATGTTAAGATTTATCATCATAGAGCATTTGAATCTATGTTAAGGGAAAATAGTAGTTTTTGCAAATGGAAGCTAAAAGTTGAATAATTATTAATACCTTTCACGGCATTGCTTTCCCATCCGACTTGGAAGTTGTGCAGCAATTTCAGACCATTTCATCTTCTTCCCGGATTGCTTCTCGACCAATGTAATAAGAAGATTATCTTCCTGTTGAAATAAGAAAAAAGGACTATGCCAACATTTTAATGAGAATCATACACAAAAAAATAAAATAAAATAAAATAAAATATGCAAGGTGTATATGACTATGACCTCTTTACTCCAGGGCCCTTTAATCAGGTTCGGATTAAGAACCTTCTGCCAGCGGTGCAAGCACTGCGTGTCCGTTCGACCAGGGAGGCATTTTGCTGAAAAATAAAATAAAATTTAAAATATAAAATCTCGAAAAATTTAAACTAACTGTGCGAAAATCTTGAGTATGAACTATGAATTGGCATAAGCTCCATTGCATCCAAATAAAAGGGAAATGGTGTAATCAACTGTTCTTTCTTTCGAAAAAATCTTGTATTTACTAGCATGCATTCACAAATGCATGAGAAAAAGAATAATAACGAAAAAAATCGGGCTTGGAAAGAGCATATAAACAAAAAGAAAAAAACTTGCCAACTTTTTTCCAGCTTTTTCCTCCATGTATTTGAACTGCATCTTGTAAAAGGGCATCCTGTTCATAGAATAGAAAAGGGGTTAAGGACAGTAAAAGATCACTAATGTATTTATAATTGAAAAGTGAAAAAGACCACAACTTTGGAAATANTCTCCTAAACGTGAAAGTTAATAATATACTAAAGAAAAGCTAATTTCCACAATTAAATTGCCACAACATAATTACATAATATGAAATTCTTGTGTGAGACAGTCTACCGATACACAATAAGTAACACTAACGAGCCAAAAAAAAAAAACTTTATAACATATGATTTGAATTGGAACTACATTCTCTATTTTCTATGTTTGTGTTTTCTTGGCTGCTGATTGAAAAGGATTTTGGAATCTTAAAAGACGGGTTTTCTAAATAACAAACAAGTAAAAGAAAACAAACCCATTAACAGCAAGAGGCTTCTTATTTGCAGCACCATTGCTTTTTTTATAATCTGTAGCAATTTCAGTACAATTATCCTCAGCTCCCTCCATAGTTTTTTTCACTTCGGAGCTCCTAATCAGCCCTTCAAACACAAACCCACATTAATTAAAGACTAAAGACAGAATTTTGATCACTCAAACTGATTATATAGTTAATGAATTGCACAAGTCCACAAAATTTAAAGAGAAAAGAAAGGATTTTGATCACTCAAACTAATTATAGAGCTGAAAAAAAATTGAACAAGCCCACAAAAATAGAAGAGAAAAGAAAGGATTTTGATCACACAAACTAATTATATAGCTGAAAAAAGTTGAACAAGCCCACAAAAATTGAAGAGAAAAGAAAGGATTTTGATCACTCAAACTAATTATATAGCTAAAAAATTGCACAGGCCTACAAAAACTAGAGATAAAAGACAGGGTTTTGATCACTCAAACTAATTATAAGCTAACAAATTGCAGGAACAAAAGAAGAACATCATCAAAAATATTATCCGCAAACTGCAAATATTGAATATCTCAGTACCCCAACGGTCAATAAACTATGTAAGCTGACGGCCCAAAAAAGAATCTTGGAAAGGGATTGAAAATAATTTATCCAAGGAAAATTAACATATGAAAGAACCTTGTAAATTAAGAAAGACTCAACGGCTAGAAAAAAAAATATGGGCGTTTCAGGAAGAGGAGACTGAGGAAGGAAACAGAATATGTTTTCGAAATAAGGAATTTTTATTTTATTTAAGTTTAGTTTAAATTTATGGGGTTTTTTCTTAGGGGACATACAGGAATTATACATATAATGGGAAAGTATGAGAATTTCTGAGTATGAAGGGGTTTTAGGTGGTTAGGAGAGAGAAAGGGTATTGTTGCAGAGAGAGAAATCCGCGGGAAGAGTCTGCATAGAGAACGATCATTATGATGCATATGTAAACATAAGATTGGCCTTTATATATAACCAAATAAATAATATTGTAAAACTTTAAAATTGCAAAATAAATTTTATTTTGATTGCAAAAATAAAACATAAATTTTTATTTTTTTTTTTAATTTTTGATTTGGTTTGGTTAATTTTGAAAAAAAAAAACGGTATGGTTAGTTGTTAGTGAGTATATTAAAATAATATTTAAAATAAATAATTAAAATTGATTTGATGTAAAGTACGCGAGAGATGATTTGAAATGACGGTTAGTTAAAATAATGTGAGTGAATGAATAATGAATTAAGGTTGATGTGTTGTGTATTGATTGATATTATTTTATTATATTGATAATATTGATAATAGTGAAGTTGAGTTAAAAAAATTGAATGAGTTAAAATGTTAGAATTTTTGTGAAAATTCTTGTATGCAAACATATGTATTATTAACTCCTATCAGGTTTTATAATCATATGTGATTGATATCCAGTCATAAGCGCTATCTCCGAGAGTGTATGTTCTCGAACAAGAAACAACTTGCCAAGAATAATGTATCTTGTTATCGTGAAAACCGACCCATTCAACTCCAGGCCAACGAGCCGAGTTGACCTGAGTTGTCTGGACTGATGCCCTGCATGGAACGAGAAGTTGGGTATGGACCTTCCCAGGCTCGTTTCATCACCACCGAGGTCACATGCCGAAAAACCGCATGAGTTTCTTGATTTATAGGCTAAGGGACGACTAACTGCTAGAGAGACGGGATAAGTGAGCCCCGTGAAGATGTCCGACTCTCGATGGAGGAGGTGGGAGAGAGTAAGAATATCTTCAATAGTTAATAAATTGTTCTATTTCATTGCGACGTGGCCCAAAAATCATATGTCTAAGATTCTTTCTATTATTTATTCAATTTCTCTATTCTCTAACTAATTACAATCTTACAATGTCAAATTATGCTACTAACATTAATCACTGAGACACAATTTCTTAATTCTTTTCTCCATGTTATACATCTCAAAATAGAAATGTGCCAATAGAGATGCTCTGGAGGTGTTTGGTGGGGTTGTTACGGGCTACAAGTGACATTAACCACTGGAGACACAATTTCTTAAATCCTTTCTCCATATTATACATTTCAAAATGGATAATGTGCCTAGGGCTGCAAACGAGTCGAGCTGAGTCGAGTCGAGCATTGGCCTTATCGAGCAGGATTGTTTTTTTTTTTTTAGCTGCTCAAGTTCGGCTCGAAAATTTTTAAATAAAAAAGTAAAATTACCATTAAGCACTTATATTAATATATATAATAGGTATTTTTGCATATATCTCGAGCCGCTCGACAATGCAAAATATGGGTCGAGCTCGACTCGAGTTCGATCAAACTCGAGCTAGAGTCGAGCTTTGACTCGAGTGCTCGCGAGCCGCTCGGTCATTTGCAGCCCTAAATGTGCCAATGGAGATGCTCCGGAGTGTTTGTTAGGGTCGTTACGGGAATTCCAAGTGTATGAGTAAAAAAAAATAAGGTTTGAAGTGTGGAAAACTTAACTTGTTGGAAGAAAAATAATCAAAAACCACACGCACCAAACTGAAATCGATTCGAAAATTTTCTACAAAGTAAAAAAAAATCAAACTGAACGGTATCGAATTGCTCTGCTTAGTTTTTCGGTTTAGGCTCGACTATGTTCACCCCTAGATGCATTTAAGCTTGGTTCAAAAAAGAAAAAGAAAAAAAAAATACATTCTATCACAAGTCAAAACTGCAACCACGGTGAAAACGTTGTATCAGAAAACTTGTGACACGGTAATTTTATTCATTATTCAGTTATCACTGAGTTATTTTACATCAAAATACCACCATACATATAAGCCGATGTTACAAGCACCGAATTGAATCTGTGTGTTCCCTATATATAGCAACACAAAGTAGAGTATATTAAATACATCCCCACCTCTAAATTGAACTCCAAAGCTCACACAAACTCTAAAACTAAGAGTGACACAGAACCAAGAAATCCCCCATAACTAAAAAATTATAGAGAAAGAAAAAAGGAAAGCATGTACACTCGGCAGACACGAAAATATAACCAGAGGGCTGTCAAATAGGCACATGAGCGTACAGCTGTGGCGTGATGATTCTAAGTGAGAAAAGGGAATCGGGCGAATAAACAGCACCAAGCTAAAACATCAGAAAGTTGACGAGCCATATAAATACTCTCCTCTTTTTGTTTCTTTCCATGATTGTTCATTATACTTCCTCGCTGTCCGTTTGATTTCCGTTTTTCAGTATGTTCAACTTGCAGAGGGGACAGGTGGCGTTTATGTGAAGCCATTTGTCGATGCAGGCCGAGTGGAAATGATGGCGGCAGGGGAGTTCACGCAGTTCAGCCCCATCTTCATAGGCACAAAGGCATATGCAACATTCCTTCAGAAAATTAAAATACAAGGTTATTGCCAGTTTATTGGGGGGAAAAAACAGAAAAAGAAAATTGAATTAGTGTATTAGAGGGCAAATAATCTAACTGAACATACAGCATCCTCAAGAGGAAGCACGTGCTCTGCCGGAGAGTCTGTGTCGCATTCGGTCATTATTCCTCCAAACGAGTCTTGGATTTCAACATTTTCCTTCTCGAAGTCACCAATTTTGCGAAATTTGTATTTAGGTAGTCTCTCAATATCTTCCTTTGTAGCTCCTTCCTGCAACATAGCATATCAATAAAGGCCAACTAATTATAACAAAGTATAAGATTTGCTATTGAATTGTTGAGTTCAGGTGACGGGCCATAAAAATTTTGTCACGAGATGTTATCCTGTGTTGGTTTGAAATATAAAAATCATTAAAATGTAAGCATAAGTAGCATATATATACTCACAGCAATAGAAAAGATCATATTATCGATAAAAATGAGAATCCAGTTGTGATGTATCTCAAATAGAAATAGCAGCACGCAAGTAAGCAGCCAAGTCCATCAATTCAAGGTCCCATAAGTTTCATAATATTTTTAGTTTTCTCATGATAATTTCACCGAGCACTGATTGTGCATATGACATCCTCACTTCTTAATGAACAAAAGTGAAATGGGTACAAAAAAGATAACAAGAAATTCTTAGGACAACCATTAAGATTTTATAGGAAAATCGACCTGGTCCGCAACTGCATATAAGATTGCAATGATACATGGTAGACAGCAGCAAACAGCAAGCCCAATGAGACACGCCACAACAACACAAATGACGACAAAGAACACATCAAATGCCAAAAATGTAATGCAGAGCCTGCAAATGATGACAGGAAAATCCATAATTATAAACAGAAAAATAAATAATAAAGTGGATGATTGTAGATGTAGACTGTAGTCCGAGAATGATACAAACCAGTAGAGCTGAGGTGATTCACTAGTCAAATTTTGGCCACCGGAAGATACCCAATAGAACCCGATTATCCACCAAATGAACGAGAACATAGTGTTTGCAGACTCCAGATGTTTAGCAACGCTGCCAGAAGATAATGTTATCATTGTTAACTTTCTCTACATATGAAAAGACCATTTCCTAAATATAGAGGTCGAGGAAACTCATGAAAGATTAGCACAGGCCATCAGGAGCACCTTAACTAATTTACAGAAGAAGATCAAATTTGCTTCCTTAACTGGAGCCAATGATAAGCCTTCAGAATATAGTATCGTTATCCCATTCAGCGCATCAAATGAGACTCACAGGTACCAATCAAATCTTTAACCCAAGCGTATAATACAAGCAGTGACACTTAAACAGCATATGATCAAGTTACACATCTTTGTGGATGGATAAGAATCCAGAGATAAGCTCTCATGGACCGAATTGTATATTCCATCAGAAGAAATTTATCATCAATCTCTCTATGGAATTACAGTCAACCGCATATTGAGTATTTATAATACACATGTATACTCATTACAATCAAACCTTTAAACTAAACTTCTAGCTCGGGTTGGACTTCAGAATCTAAGTGTCAACATCCAATATGAAAATGTTAAGACCATTCTCTCCCATTTTTTCTGCTATTTATTCACCTATTTCAATTTTCACATTACACATATTTATAAATAAAGAAATGAAATCGATACTTCCTTTGCCAGAAACACAATGCGGAGGACATCCATTTC